CCCGCCCTGGCCCCCCTCCCTCCCTTCCCCCCCATGCCTCTCGACTGGCGCCCTGACCAAAAAGGTTCTAGAAGCCTTGGCATGTACAAACATTCACTATCCTAAGAGAAACTCTCCTGGGAGTGATTTAAGTCTGGTTGTTACCAGATTGTTTTTCTCCAGTAGTGGCTATTTTTACCCTGGGAGAGAAAGCCTGAACACTTGAGGTTTCTTCTGGGAAGGCAGCGACTGTCCCAGGAGAAACTGAATGTCTGTATGAGGTCTAGGAGAAAACAGCAATGTTTTTTTTAATCCCATATTTTCTCCCTCTCGTCTCGTCTCCCCTCTCTCTCTCTCTCCCCATCACCTCCTCTGAAACCAGCCTGGCTTACAGTGCTCATGCGCTGCGCCCCGTAGCTGCAGCAGCTGCCAGCTTCCCCTTGATACACTTCTCATCTTGATACAAGTCATTTTACTGCTTTGCTTGCACTACCTCTTTAGCTTTACCTTTTCCTTATGAGTCCAAAAAAGCAGCAGGTATTTGTGCTCCGTGGAGTTTGATTGTATTGCCTTCAATAGATGTGATTGCCTTTGTGTTTGCAACATTTCATATGCTCCCTTCTACTTGTTGTAAGTAATAATTAGAATGAATTGAATGCTGGGGTAAAGGTACACAGTTCCAAGGAGTTGGCAGATACTTATGACCACTGTATATAGCAGCTGGAAGGTGTTGTAAAGTTGTTGGCTGTTACATAAACTTGCTGTAACCAAGTAGATATTTTTAAATGGCATACATCTCAAGAAATCACTGTTCTGCAGCAATATGCAAATGCTGGCAGCAGTAATTGCGGGATGCAAGGAATCAGTTATTTAAGGAACACATAACATACTGTATAAGTTATGGGTAGTACTAGACTTCAGCTAATAATCATTTTACCTATATATATTGCAGTATCAACCCTCACCAAGTGCATGATGAGGTGCTGGAAGCATTTGACTCATTGCCTGTGTGATGTCTGACAGATTCTGGCTTTGGGCAGACTATTAGAAACTGCTAGTCTCGTTCAACTGTAGTAGTCTCTGATAAAAGGTGGTACTGCTTCAATAGCCCCCTTCAGTACAGTTCCACTCTGATGTAGAAGTGGCATGCTAACAGTATTGTACAGTTAAAGAATTAGCAGGTCAATATTGTAAACCTAACAAAAGATAAAAAACTGAAAGCACTGGCCAGGAGATCCTTATACAGTTAGTAGTGGGGAGCCTTCTTGCCTTTTTCTTACACTGCTGAGGAAATCAGCATTTGCATTATGCTTTACTATGCCTGTCTTTTTTTAACCTTTTTCTTGAATTATTTCTGAGATCTGGATAAAGGAAAGAGCTGATACGTCTGTATTTTTGTACTTGTAAGGCCCTTTTTAATTGATAAGCAGTGCTTTAAAAGCACTTAAAAATTAACATAATACTTTATCTTCATATTCCTAACTTTTTGTATAGGTAAATTGTTTTTCTTAGTGATGTGTCATAATAAACTACTTGTACTGCGGCATTAGACTTATTTTTCATAAAATAAGTTTGTACTTTTAAAAAATGTTGTAAACCTTAACTATTGCTTTAAATGTTCGGAATTAGCTTAGCCATGATTTTTCCATGTTTTTAGAATATCTTCCTAATGCCGAATGAAATAATTAGCTTTTATTTTCTAGTTTTGCCAGTTGTTTTAACCTGAGAGACCAATCGTACAGTTTGTACAATACAGTACAAAACTTGTCTGTCCCCTTCCTCTGCTCCCTTTTAGATTGTTATTGACTTAACAGGACAATGCCTTTTTAAAATACAGAATGCTCTATAGGTTTTCAGCCTCTTTGTAAATGTGGTCTGCCATTGAAAATCCATTTTGCCTATACTTTCAGGACTTGTTTGGCGTGAGCATGGTTGTTCCTTTATTAAGCCTTCATATTAAGTCTTTAGGGGCAAGTCCAACTATTGCTGGCATAATAGGTGAGTACAGAATGCATGCTTATATAGTAGATTAAGAATAAAGTCAAGTAAAAAGAGTATTAGCAATAATTCACAGCAAGTCAGATGTGTGACATACATTAATAGTCCTAACACTTGAATTAGCTATATCGGGGGGTTTCAACCTTTTTTAGTAAGTATACCCCCGGTGGCCAGATGCGGAGTGGGGGAGGGGGTGGCGCACGGCCAGACATGGAATAGTGACAGCAGGGGTGGTGGGAAGCAGCGGCGGCCACCTCATGCAAGCTCCCCCCCCCGCCCTATGTCCGGCTGGCCAGATGGCACCTGCACAACCTGCAGAGGATCACCGCTGCCCTTGACCCCCACCCCACCCCACCCCACCTCGGCCCTGCTCCTGGGAGGTGGAGGTGGGGGGTGGTAGATGACAGCGCTTTGTCCCCACCTGTGTGTACCCCCTAGGGACCTCCCAAGTACTTCCTGAGCTATATAATAGAAAAACAAAGCCAAGCTTCAAGAGAAATTTCTGCTAATGACTGGTCACCTTTTGTAATACATTTCTCTCCCAATTTGGTAATACACCTTTCATCTATTTCCGTTATAAAATCTTTACGTCCCTTGATTAATTATTTGCAAAATCTACTATGCAAGTAAATTTCATATGCTAAGATTTTAACTCACAGTTAAGGGCTTACTTTAAAGTTTAGAAAGAGTAATAATGATAAAAATATATCATCTTTATAATTGTGTTTTTTTAATATCTTGTCTGTTCATTTTGGGTGGAATTTATCTCCTTCTGGAGTTAATGAAAGTTCTGTCTTGAGTATGGTTGATGGCGAATGTTTATATAATACTTCTAGTGGAAAATAAGTTACCACCTCTCCACTCTACGTTGATTTGACTATTTAGAGGTCTCAGGATCTGAGTGTCCTTTAATCAGTGAAGAAGCCTGGCAAATACTATGCTGCTGTGTCCATGTTGCTTTCTGCAGATGCTGCCAAGTGCTACTAGATTCATGACTTTAGAAAGAAGAAGTAGAAGTTGTGTTATCTTCTACAGCATAATGGCCTGCCAATAATATCTTTATAGTCTTGTGCAATTGGAGTGGCTTCTCCTAGGAATGAAAATTCCCTCCTGCTTTTGCCAGAATCAATAACAATTTCATATATTTCCTATAGCAAGGCAGCACCTCTGGGTTGAATGGTGTTGCAAATATGGTACACAATTGTTCCTCTTTCTCTTAGTATCTTTAAATGGTGAAATGGTGGTTGCCACAGTCTGTGCTAGACTTTCTGTCTTGCTTGCTTCTGAGCTTCCACCCATTCTTTCAACAAAGGATTCATAACATTTTTCTCAGCTTTCTCCATTAACTAAAGCCATGCTGAAGAATCTCTTTTAAAAGAGTTTTACAGGTCCATTCTCACTTAATTCTCACAGTGGCATTTTTTTCCCTTACATTTGTATTTTAGGATCTCTTTATGGTTTCCTGCAGCTTGTTTCCAGCACATTTGTGGTAAGTTTGTAATCCTTGGTCTCAAAAATATATTGATGTTTCTTTAAATGTGGTGGAAAAATTGATAGCATTGATATTAGTGTTTTGGGGGAATGTGAAAATATATGTTTAACAGGATTCACACAAGCCTTTTGAGATCGTAAAGAACAGCTGTTTCTCCATCGTGTAGAACTTTTTGGCTCAATCATAGGGTATAATCAAATTCTTCAGGTTACCAATACACAAGATGGGATTTTCAGCTGAAAAGCAAAGCCCTGCCTAGATTTAGAATCAGTCAAGTGTACCTTTGTCAGTCATTCAAAGTTCTCTGTAACAATGCTGCTATTAAAGCTGTGTTCCTCAACACAGTAACCTGTTTCTTGCACATAGTCTCATGGACCAAAAAAAGCATATTATCTGGATTTTCCTTTCCCTGGTTAATAGGTGGTCTCCTGTAATTTGCCATATGGACTTAATTCATACAATTTATCTCAATTTTCTCTTTTTTTTCCTATTGGGTTACATTTTTTCCCACTGCAATGCCAAGATAACTATGTGGAAGGACCCAACCCCGAGGCCATAGTTCATGAATACATACTGTACCTTTCAGGTGCTTAAATCTAGACATTTTAGTCAGAAATACTCCTAGCCTCATCCACCTGTTTGGCATACAATTGCCTTTCCCCTATATGCTTGTTAGTTTCCCTGAACTTGCCTATAAGACCCCTAGCATGTCCTCATATATATCCCTCATAAAGCTTCTTTTCCAACACACGTGGTTACTATATTTACGTATAGTAAATCATGTTGCCTATAAATGACTTGTTGTTTTTCCTTTCCACATTTCTTCGTATTGGTATGCCCTTAGATTGTGGATACTTTCGAACTGACACTGTCTTCTCCTAGTGTTTGACAAGCATCTAGTACATACAGGCATGTCTGCACATACTATTAATGTAATATAGGCTTACTGTGCAGTAAAATACTGCACAGTAAGCCTTCCCCAGGAGCACATCTACATGTGCAGCCTGTGAAGAGTAAATCTATTCCCAATGGGAGCAGCCTGGTACAGGGCTGGTCCTGCCCTGCTCTAATCCTCTGCAGCAGCCAGGGGGAGCTCCAGGCAGGGGTTATAAGGGGCAGTCCCAATATGCCCTGGGCCAGAAGAGCTCTGCTGCCTGCAGCAGCAGCTGTCTCCTGGCCCTGTGCACAATTGGAGGGGTCCTGATGTGCATGGAGCCGAGAGACAACTGCCACTGCAGCTGTCAGAGCTCTCCCTGCCCCATGCACATTGGACACATAGCTATTGGCTTCCCCGTCCAGCAGGGGGTCTCACCAGGAGCTGCCTCAGAAGCAGACTACAGGCAAGCCCCACTTAGTGCTCCTAATTGGTTCTGGGAAAGCCAAGCACTAAGTGAAACAGCTTTAAGCAGAACCATTTCCCCATAGGATTTAATGTAAATAAAGATAATTGATTCTGCACCATCTGCCAACTCAGACCCTGCACTTCTGCAGCCCCAACCTGGGCCCTGCGTTCCTACCGGCCCTGGCCGAGCCACTCCCGGCAAGGCACCACTTGGGTTCTGCCAGGGAAGGCATCAGCTCCTCCCGGCCTCATTGTTCCCCCGCCGCGATGGGCCCTGCCAACCTGCACCTGCCGGCCACCAGTGCACCTGTGCATGGCACTTCAGAGTTTAATTCTGTCCATTGTATCCAGCTTCTGACTTTTAAGGTTGCTTACTGTTCATGTAACAAATACATTATCTGTACAAGAACACTTTCACTGGTGACCCTTCTTCTCAAAAGAGAAGTAATTCATTTAAATCAAATATGCAGATTGTTCACTCCAAGTAGATAACTCTTGTTCCAAACATTCATTTCTTGTCTTGTCCAGGGCTGCTGGAGTGATGTTGTAGGAAGAAAACAGTCCCTGCTTGCCTGCATTCTCTTCAGTGCACTGGGTTATTTGCTGCTGGGCATGTCCACTAATGTGTTTTTATTTGCTATTGCTAGAGTTCCTGTAGGTGAGTAAATGTATTGGTACCTAGGCTTTTATTTATTTTAACTTAAACTAGAGAATTATTGCTGGAGGAGTTTGTGACATTTGACTATAGGTACAAGCAGGACAGTTTGAACAGTTTTGAACAGTTCTATCAATTGTTATTAGAAGAAGCCTGTAGAAACTCAAATTCAAGTTGCTCCTTTTGAACTTTGTCATGATCTCTTTTCCAGAAGTTAAGAAACAGTGTACCCAGAAATAGATGACTCCTGAGATTCTTTTTAGGGGTACCTGAATTGTAAGAGTTCATGCTAAGGTCTGGCTGGAAAGAGACCATTTTAAGGTTCTTGTTTGGGGGAACCAGAATGACTAGTCTCTTCTGAAAAGCTTGGTCTGTTTCTGCAACACAGCATGAAATAACATGCATTTTTTTATCATGCGGAAAACATATTTCCAAATAAACTGTCAGCTAAAAAAATGACTTGCTACATCAGTGGAAATTCATATGTGGTGTATAAACATACGTCTGTGACACTAGTGCTACATTTGCCTCACCATTTATGTTAGAAAATTTTGAAGGGTTTAGCATCTTAAATATTTGCCTTGTCCCAAAGAATGTTTCTTTGTTTCAGGGGCTTTTCGAGGCAATTTATTTATTTTCCCTGAGTTTAATTAATTTGATTAAATTGGTGATTGGCTTATGTCTCCTACTTCTAGAAAGATTTTTGTGATGCTCCCATAGGGGCTGTCTGATATGATCTAGTGTTTTTCTGTTACAAGGAAAGGGCAGGAGATTTCACTAAGTGCATGTATGGTATTTTTGGAATATGCTTAAATTTCTCTTATTCTGCATGCCCTCCCTACCACCTGCTTTGTGTGTGGTGTATTATAGTTCCTTGTCAGCTCCCATAATAGTTCTTGGTGTTTCTGTAAGCAGCTGTGTTGTTCTTCGTCCACCAGTGACCACAGGAGCAGTTGTCTCATTTGTTTGGGGATCCTTTCACAACTGTTGCTTCCATCTTACTTTAGCTTAGCTGTTTTGGTCCCTGTTGAACATGCTGCCTATACTCTAGCTGCTGAAGATGCCATGAGAACTGGTGATGTCTAATGTATCATAAGGCCAGGGCTGACACAACTGCTTTAGTGCTGGCAGGGGATGTTTTGTCATTCCTAGAATTTTCAAACGGTAATTCAAAATATTATATATGGCATTACAGACTACATAACAATGATACAGATGGCTTGACTGAGTGTCATATATTTCTTTTATGTTGCCTCGCAGGTATTTTCAAACACACACTCTCCATTTCTAAAGCTCTTCTTTCCGACTTGGTGTCTGAGAGAGAGCGCCCACTGATTATAGGGCATTTCAATGCAGCCTCCAGTATTGGCTTCATTCTGGGTCCTGTGGTTGGTGGCTACCTTACAGAGCGAGAGGGTGGCTTCTACCTGACATCCTTCATCTGCTCTTCCATCTTCATTCTGAATGCTGGTAAGTTGTACTTTGCACTTCAGGCTTTGTCTGTTTTTTTGTGCAGTCATGATACTTTTAACAAGAACAGTAATCTCCATCCAGTCTGTATATTTAAACAGCCTTTTGCATGTGAACTTGTAAAGCCCAACATACCTCTTCTCTTCAACAGCATTTTTGCAGACACATACAAACAATGGAGTGTAGTGATTTTGAGCTTGAAAATCTTAGGTTAATTTCTCAGATCTACTGAGCATATTTTAGTCAAGCAAATTGCTTGGTTTTCCCATATTTAAAATGAGGTATTCAAAACCTCCTGGGTTATGCTGTTCTGCTTAGTGTTTGTAAAATGTTTTGTCCCTTTCTTTAAAAAAAGGTGCTATTTAAGTTCAAAAGACTTTTTAATTTATTTGCATTTTATATTTAAATAAACTATTAAAACATGTTTGTGAACATAAAAAGTATAACTAAAGATGCTTAATTGATTACTGAAGGCATTCTCTGTATAGGTCTTGTCTGGATGTTACCATGGGATGAAGAAAACACAGTGAGCAGCAAACATGAGCAAACCACCTGCAACAGAAAGATGACTGAGAATATCTTGGGAAAGGTGAACCAGGACTCACAGATTAAAGCAGTAGCTAATGGAACAAAGAAATGTGATGTTCCTCTCTGGTCTCCCTGGATTCAAGTTGTGCCAGTACTGAAAAGGATTAAAAGCATCGCATGTTCTGATATGTGGGATATATTTTTAGTACGGCTACTAATGTCTGTTGCCGTAATGCTGTACTACAGCAATTTTGTTTTGGCAATTGAAGAGAGATTTGGAGTGAAACCTAAGCTGACTGGGTACCTGATAAGTTATGGCAGTACCCTTGGAGCACTTGCTGGCTTCCTAGTTGGAACAATAACGAGGCTATATCAGCATAACACTTACACAATTTTATTACATTCCAGTGTTCTCACATGCACATTGATACTGCTGTATTCTTCAGCACTCAGTATATGGACAGTGATTTTGTCTTCTACGTTTTTAGCCTTTTCAACTACTGTAGGACGCACTTGTATCACTGACTTGGAACTGACCCTGGGTGGAAATCATGCCAGTGGTACACTCCTAGGAATTGGTCAGTCTGTGACATCTGTGGGGCGTATAATTGTTCCTCTTCTCTCCGGAATTGCACAAGAGTTCAGTCCCTGTGGCCCTCCAACTGTTGGCGTGGGGCTGGGACTGATGGCTGTTCTAATCATGGTAATGAACAAATCACAATACAGTAGTGCTAGAAACATTAAACTTAACAGTGAGTAACATCTTATTTTGGACAGGGTTATTATCTTAAATGAAACAGAGCAATTCAAAGAATTGGGGATAAATTGTGGGAAAGAACAATAAGCACAAAAGAAGTTTATTGTAAGCACAATAAGTTCACAGGATGTTATAAGAAGAAACAACAACTTCAAGGGCAGTGAGGCCTGATGCGGCCTTCAGATTCACATGGACTCTTCTAATGGAGTATCACAAGTCAAGACAAATGCTCATAAGTGTAATTTAGAGACACCAACAAGAGGCGCAGGAATGGAACAGAAAATTTAAAAAATAAGAGTTCTCGAGTGTCAATGGCATGTTGAAAAATCAATACTTTCATCAGTGCTTCGCCTAGAAATGTACCCACCCTGAACTTTCTTGATATCCCATACTTGTTTCTTTTTGCCCCAGTGTTTCTGGGTAATAGAACCATGTATGTTCTGGCACTTTTATGTATTAGCAGGCCTAAAAGAAGCATGTATTTTAAGAGAAGATGTCACCATCCAGAGCAGAGGTGATTCAGTTGAATGTAAACTATCTTGAAACTTGCACTAGTGGTTTTTGCACTAATTACCACCTCCATTTGCTTACCTTCTGCCATAAATGTTTTAAAATTTCCCCAAAATTCCCGGTGCAGTTTCCTTCCATCTCTGCTCTAAGTGTAACTTTTCCGTCTCAGTTCTTCAGTTGGCTTTTTAAAATGTTCTGGAGAAATATTTTTAACTGTTTGATGTTGAATTAATTCATTGTCTTTTACCTCTACCAATATAGGTACAAATGCCATTTTAGATAACAATTGAAAGTATATGCAGTTGGTGCTGGTCTAGTCTTCATTTGTCTGCAATGGTTTAGGAAGCCAAAGCTAACAGATTCTTGCAAGCAAAGGTGCATCAAGAGAGTTGGGGACACAATTCAGAGTACTGCTCTGTATTGTACCTGGTTCAGGCCAGTAATCACTAGTAGTCATTTGTTTTCATGAGCTTTAAATTTGTTCCACATTTAAAAAAAAAAATATCTTGCACTTTTAATGTCTTTTACCTGAAAATCTCATGCACTTTCCATGTAATTATTTGGTATATCATACAAAACCAGCTGTGTGAATTTTATATAAAAACATTGTGTGCATATGCATTTTCAAAAATTATAAACAAAGCGTCACTTCATAACTGTCACAGATGGTGTTTTGTAGGGTTTTTTAATCATCTTTTTTTCCCCTCAGTAATGTGTCTTCTCTTCCAGAATGCGTACTCCCATTTGAAGTCAGTGGTAAAATCCCACTGATTTCAGTAGGAGCACCATGGAAAAATGCCTGCAGATCTTATAATTATTTTAAGTGCTTTTGAGTTTAGCAAACATACAGGGCTGGCATCTTCTATGTTTGCAGGAGGTAACCTTGATTTCTCTCTAAGAGTTCAAGTTCATATAGAAAATAGAGTTGCTTATATTTTAATATATTCTCACTTTTGCTCCTCCCTTTATGGATTGGAAGAATTGTTACCTAGGTAAAATTTTCAGATGTGCCCAAGTTCCAACCTCAAAAGTAAAAGGGCTCCTAAGTTAACTTACTTTTAGGAGCCTAAAGTCACTAACCTACAGCTACCACTTTACCAAGCACCTCAAAATATTCTGTCACCCTATCCACTTTTATACTGCATTTCTATATTATGAAATGGATTTTTGCTGCTATCTCTTGGAACTTAAAAACCTTTGATAAAAATGTTGCCTAGTGATCTGATAACTAATAAATAGACAAAGACTTTCTTTTTTAAGTTCCAGTAACAATAATAACCCAAGGCATTAGACCAAAGAAACAATGAAGATTGTCTTGCATTAATCTGGGTAAGTGTGCAAATACCACTTTTATGGGTGACAGAACTGAAAGTGTAAATACTTTTATGCGTACAAAAATGGACGTGTGTTGTACTCTTTACAACCAGCAGATATTTTTGCATAACTCTATTTTGTTTTGGAAGAGATATTGCAGTTTTCTTGTCTAAATGTGCACAGAAGACTAATACGTGGACTGGAACGTGGTCTCAGGGATGATGATACTTCTGGACAAAGAAGTGTTTGGAGTTGATAATCAAATAATTTCTGAAGGATTTTTTTAAAGGATTTCTTTCTTCACGGTCACAAAAGAATGATACTAAAATTGTTATTAAAAACAGTAATAAAATTAAATGATGTTCCATGCTTCTTGTTTCAGTAATTGTCTTGTTCCTTTTAAGACCTTGTCACAAAATATAGATAATCAACTCAATAGGATTGAATGGAATGCACTGTATTTGACTGCTTTTACCCCGTTCCTTCATTTTTCTCTTGTTTCTTGGCTTCTTAGGTCCAGGCTACCTCTTCCTTTCTTTTCAACAAAGTCCAGTTCAGCATGGCATTAGAGGTGCACTGATATATTAGTCCATATCAGATCAGCACCGATAAAAGGAAAATCGACATTATCGGCAATTGGCAGGTTTTGGCCCACGTAGCCGATTAACGTCACCAATAAATGCCGCATTTGTGCACGCAGCCACAGCATGCATGCAGCCAGGAATGCAGCCTGGCAGCTTGAAGAGTAGTATCCGGCTGGTAAGTCTATGGAGGGGGGGTAGGGGAGGTGCAGATTGAGGCCCCTGTGGTGAGGGAGGGAGTGGGGCTGAGGCAAGGTCAGGCAGTGCCCAGCTGGGGTGGGACAGGGTGCAGCACTGAGCTGTGGGCAGCTTGTCCAGGGGGTGGGAGGGGGGTGGCTCCCTGCTACTGTGTGCACCCCTGAGGGAGGTATGAAGTTCATGTACCCCCTAGATTTGTGCATGATGTGAAGGTGGGCTGCCTGCTGTAAGCTCAAGGCCAGGGGCTGCGCTGGCCTCTTCCTAGCAGGGTCACTGGACTGCAGGCCAGATAGAATGGTCTGGTGGGCCGCATCTGGCCCACGGGCCGCATTTTGCCCACCCCTGATCTAATAGGTTCCTTCCAACCCTAAAATCTATGACTCTCATGTTAGTCTTTATTTTAACCATGAAAGATGGAGGAGAGCAACGGAAAGATAAAATGGGGAAAAACTTAGAAAGCATAAAGAAGTCCTGCTTGCCAGTTCTGAGACAGGGTACCCAAGGCAATCATTCTTATTGCCAAAGAAAATAAGGTTGGCATTTTGCCATATTCACTGTCTCCAAAAGTCATGAGTTGCATTTGGATTGCTTTCCCCCTGCCATTAGTTTGCAGGATTTGGGAGGTGGGGGTTCTATTATCCTTTGTTGAAGCCCTCTTCTTTGTCTTTCTTTTTTCCTCTTCTTTTTTAAAATGGTCGTTACATTTCTAGCCTTTACAGTTGTTGAGATCTTCAGAATGTGAGAGAACACAGTGCTGGTTTCATAGTCTGCAGATGCATTCACTGAAAGAGTCTAAATGAATTGACTTAAGCATATTTTAAATTTGGCTTTAAAATGATTGGCCTAAGCAGGAGTGTCAGGCTAATATAGCTGTATGTAACTGAATATTGCATATATTTGAAAGGATATTCTTAGAGTAAACTTGCAGCCTTATAAGATTTTATGTTTAGGATATGGTTTTTTTTAGGTATGTATTTACCTCCTGCTTCATCATCTTATAAAAATTGTAACATTCAGGTTTCTAGCAAGTACCCTGCCAGATTGATTGATGATACTAAAACAGACTGAAACAAACATGACTTCATTAAAACTAACAAGCTCAAGCCCTTTGGTCTAGGCATCTAACCTCTGACCTCTGCAATATGCCCTATTACACAGCCTTACAAATACTCAGACTTCAACTGCCTCTGGATTGGATTCCCTGACCATGTTCACAAACTGCATTTCTCTATACGGTTTTGGTGCAGTTGGTTCCAATGAGTGACACGTCTTAAATCCTTATGTTTCAGGGTCCAAATTGCATTATGTACTCGTTGTTACAATCAATCTAGCCTTTTCACCATCCAGTAAAATCCAGTCTTTGGTGATTGGTGTTCACCATAGTCTGAGCTTCTGAAGCCAAGAATTTCAGCTTTCATTCCAAAGTTTCTAGCTTTCAGAGTTGTGGAGGAAAAACTTGGAAGCATGAATGACCTCAAATGGCCCAGAAGAGGGAAAACAAAAAAACAAATGTATAATTATGTTTACTCATCAGGCCTAATGAATGAATTGGCAATAGTATGTATGGTAGTTCAGTCATGGCATGCACAGTATTTGGGTCTTCAGCTCTTCCTTAAGCTAAGAATGATGTGGTTGGCCCCAAGTGGTAGATATAGGTATAGATATATAACAAAGCATTAATAAAGCACCAAAATGGAATCCTTTAACGCCCCTCCCCTCCCCCGTCAAATCCATGGATTGTGACAAAAATTGCCATTTGACTGAAGCAAAACTTGTGCAGAAAATAGCATTATTGTCACTTCAAGCTACACAACTCTTCAGATGAATGCCAACCATTGAAACGCATGAGATCCACTGGGGTATGATTTGCAATCTATTGATTTTGTATTGCAATCTCAGGCCTTGGCATTCTGTCAACTCACAAAGGGTGGGCTAAGCTGTAAGCAAAGTACGTGACAGACCTTTAAAGCATGTTCATGAATCACATGTGATCAATCTGCTGCACTTTTTCCTGAAAGTTGATACCTGCATATGGTGTACTGTTAAAAGATCTCTGCGGCCTGCAGGAAGTGTTTTTGTTCTGTAGCAGCAGAGATCCAAATTCCACTCTGTCAGTAAGTTCTAAAGTTTGGGCCACTTGCTCAGTGGGGTGTGGAATCTAAAACTTGGTGTAACGTGCTTTCTCCATGTGAGCGTTCTCAGGTGCAAGGACTTCTGGTTACTTATGCTGTTTCAATCTTATTGCTTCCCCAGAACATAAATTGTACCTGCTTAAGCCCCTGAAATGTTAGCTGAAGAAAGCAAAACTGTTGACTTGAGGGAAGTAAAAAAGAACTCCCTCCCATTTTTGGGTTAATAACTTAGTAGTTACTTGCCCAGGGGACTTGAACCTACATTTCCGATTTCACCCTGCATAGGGAAGGTACTGCTTAAGGAACTTTCCAGCCTTCCTGTTGAAATCTGTTCTATGGAGCAGCCAAGAAAGGAAGATATTTGGGGCAAACAAGCCAAAAAGAATGCAACTCAGTGGGCATGTCTAGATGAGACACTACTGCACACTTGTTACTGCACATTTATTTAGTACTTGTATTAGCAAGTACTAAATCAATGCACAGTAACCAGAGTTACTACGCAGTATTATTAGGCTACTGCGCAGTAGCATCACGTAAAAGATGTTCACCAGCACTACTGCATAGTAGTGCTGGTGAACATCTTTTACGTGATGCTACTGCACAGTAGCCTAATAATATTGCGCAGCAGCATATTAGCATTGTCCTTGCTGTGACATGCTACTGCTCAGTATTTTTTGGCTACTGCACAGTCAACATCTCTCGTAGACACACACAGTGAGATGGACAGAGCCCTTCAAAGGAGGATGCCCTGGGTTCTCATCTCCTGCCCTAGTAGGGAAGATTCTGTTTCTTCATTTTATCTACTGTCTAATAATTTCAAAGTGTAGAAAAAGCCTTGGGGGACTAGAACCCAGAGCACCCTACTTCCCAAAGCAAAGTCAGCTTCACTAGGTCACATTTCCTTGCATATCTTTTCTAGCTGGCCTCACATATCTTCTCTGCTTGGTTGCCCAACAGGCCAGAAAGGGTGGAAAGTGCCCTTAGTAGTTTTTAGCCTATGGCCTGATGCTTAGGACACTTGGCTAGGTAGTAAGAGATGCTGGTTCAAAGTTACTCTAGGTGGGAGACTAAGCCTACAACCTGGGTCTCTATCCTGCAGGTATGTGCTATATAACCATTACCAGTGGTTTAAAAGCTACAAGGGTCTGTCTCTTCCTCTTTGTTTTTGTGTCCTTGAAAGGAATTATGCACTTTCCCAGGAGGGGACAGAGCAATAATCCACAAAGGAGGCCTGAATAAATTCCCAAAGATTTTGTGGCTTTAGTTACTTATTTGTCTAGACATAGATTTGGGCCAAAGTGTTTTGTTTTTTTTAAAGGGAATGTGTAGCACAGAAGGCAAAATACAGTCCACAGGCCAGATCTGGCCCACCAGGCAATTTCATCTGGCCTGAGGGAGCCCACCAATTAATTGTACCCCACCCAGCCCATGTGCCTCACTCCCACCCTGGTGCACAGAAGGGCTTGGCCCAGTCAGCATGCAACTTCCAGGAGCTAAGAGAGCTGCTCAGCTTCCCTGCTAAGAGAGCTGCTCAGCTTCCCTGGTGACCAGCAGCTCCTCCTCATTTCCCTGCTGCAGCGGGGCAGGGGGCTGGAGCTGGCAGGAGCACCACCCTCTGCTTCTGTGGCAGCAGGGAGTGGGGAAAGCAGCTGGCTCCGTCGCACAGGGCTTCCCCCGGTGGTTCACGAGTGCCAGGAGCTGCATGTGTGCTGGGGGGAGCTCCGCATCATAGAGGTGAGCCAGCCTGCCTGAACTCCTTGCCGCTATGTGTAGCTCTGAATGGAGCCGTGCACTGCTGGGCAGCAGCACCTTCACAGGCCACATGAATGAGGGCCCACTGCCTCCTGTTGTTGCTGCCACCGCCAGCGCAACCTGTGCGCCGTGGGAGGGAGTGGGTAGGGGGATCCCCACCCTCTGTCACACCCAACCCATTCACATATACAAATCCCTCAACATACCTGATGCCACACACTCTCACAACCCCCCCCACACTCCACCATACACACACACTCCCCCATACACAGTATACAAGAGTAAGACATTATTTTTTAGCTATTATGCAATCACCTCTGTGTATACTACACAAACACAAATCATAACAAAAATATTTTTGTAATAAAATTAAAATATATTATAGTAATAAAAATCTAACAACTATATGATTTGATTTTTTTTCTGGTTCAAAGATGGCAACACCTCCTCCTCCCCTCCCCCCCCCCCCCCCCCCCCCCCCAACCAAAAAGGAGTACTTCTAGGGGCAAGAAGAGGGATTTCCAGTGGGAAATGTCGGGGGTTAGGGTGGGGACTTCCAGTCCCAAGATAGCAACCAGAGGGCGGGACACCTGTCAAGGGGCAGGGCTGCACTTGTGGCCCTCAACAGCTCACCAGAACTCATTAAGTGGCCCACCAGCTGAAATACTTGCCCAACCAGGTGTAGAAGCACAAAGTCACTACAGGGCTTGCTGCCTAGAGAAACATTCAGCTCCAAGTTAGCTCTGTGATGCCTAGGATCCCTGTAGAATACAAGAAGAGATTAAGCAAATGAGAAAGGTAGTTTCAGAAGGCTGGACCAGGTGAGCTATCCTGCAGGGAATGAAATCCCAGGTGCTTCACATTGTGATGAGCCACATGCTCCACCGTCTGAAGATTATCCCAATCACATTCAGCACTAAAAGCAAGGAGACAAAGGATGTGTTCATTAGCACGGATAGATTGTAGCCACCATCAATAATTATCTCCAGTGTTGTTCTGGCAGGACAAGGTAGCAATCCAGCTGCAGAACTAGGGGCAGCTTTGGTGTGATCGTCACTGATCCCTCTTTTGAAGGGAAACTCAACTTTCTCATTGTCCCAGGAGGCAAGACCTCTCATGCTTCTAACACTTATAAGGCATAGACCCATGGTCACACATTGGCCACAAGGAAAGGCATCGTGCATGTCATAGGCAACACCTGGAGGGCCATGGGGGGGCACATGCCCCCCCCCCCCCCCCCCTTGCAGGGTGCCCCCCCCCCGAGATTGGATGATGACAACGGCTTCTGCAGGTGGTCACAGCTCCCCCTCCTCGCCGCCACCACTAGCTTTTGTGGGCAGTCACTGCTCTTTCTCCGGGGGGTCACCACTGGCCCCCGGCTTCTGGGGCTGGTGGCCATTCGCCACTACCGCTGGCTTCACCAGCTTCTGCAGGCAGTCGCCAATCGCCGCTCACCACTCACAACCTCCCCCCGCCTCTGACTTCTGCAGGTGGTTGCCACTTGCCACACCACCACCAACCACAAATTGTGTCCCTGCAGTCTCGGGAGGCACCAGTCGCTCATGGTGGATGTCTTCTGGGATGTGACTGAAGTACTTGCATTTACAAGTACTAACCTATGGCAGCACAAGTACTTCTGGCACGTCTGATCTGGCAGAATATGCACTGAGTTCTTCACATCTGCTGAGTCCATGGAGAACAAGTAGAACCATGTTGTACTAGTATGTGGAGTAGCATCTTTTTTCCTCTTTCTAGCTGCCCTCAAACACGCTATGCTGCTGCAAGCCCAGATACCCATTTGAAACTTACCCTGCCTGGAGTGCTGAAATAATATAGCCAGGTGGAATGGGCCAAGCAAATAAGGGGCCATTAAAATCCCATGGGAAGGGTACTATAGGCTTCCTAGGTGGGGTAGAGATGTGCCTGGATTCCTTGCATGGCATGTCAGAAGATTAAACAGATGTCTTTGTGTGATCTGTAGAAACAGCTCCTTGCATTGTGTGAGGGCTGATAGGCCCGTTATTTCCTTCATCCAGTAGTCTGTGGGTGTCTTCTGTCAGTATATCTTTACTCAAGGATATGGCACAAGGTATTACCTGCATCTTTAGGGTTGGCTGAAGCAAGTGGTATCGGTGGGCTCCTGAAAGCTGGGGTTGAATGAGGCACCTCATTGACATAATAAAAATAGCCTGTAACATTCCTCTCTCCTGTACTCTGCCTTAGTGAAATAGGGTGCTGCTCTAGAGTGGATAGAGCTGGCCATTGGAAGGAAGGAAGAGCTAAGCAGCTACCTAGGAGGAGATGAATGACCCCCCTAGCCTGTTTGTATAAGCCAAGACTTTTCAGGAGTTGTCTTAGTCATTTTAGCAGTGAAGCAGAATTTGGCCATACTGCAGTTTCAATATTGGGTACAATAGTCTCTAGAATTTGGTCCCACTACCTATATGACAAACTTTCTTTTTTCCTCTTTCAGTTTCATCCTTAAAATGAAGGTAGTCTGCTTAGCCTTTGTATATTAACCTGCTTTCTAGTGTTTTCAGCATCTATCAGCTATGTGTGAGATACCAACTTGTTCACTCAGCAGATGAAGGGGGGACAATCGTTTCCTTTCTTCACTTTCTTTTGGTCTGATAAACCAACAACAAACCTATTCAAAAGTTCATACTGGCAAAGCTAGTCAGTCAGCCAATACTAACTTTTTGTCACAAGCAAATTATTCAGTTCCTAAAGACTTGTATTTCTGGAAGAGAATAAAAATAATTTCAATGCATCATTTCTCCCAACAGATGGTGCCAGAGGATAGTAAGATTTATGTGGGTTTTGATTCTCTGGCACTATAACCTTTCTTGGAGAAGGGATCACAAAACAAAGGCCACATTGCAGACTCAAGCTGAAAATTCTGTTTAGAAATCTGTTAAGATAAATGTTGCAGTTTGTCTTCTCTTTGTTTGAAGAGTACCAGGATGCAGACTTTAAAATATAATTTTGCTTTAACAATATGCTCAGCATTTATCTAATTCATCTGTCTCAAAGTACTTTTAGGCATCTGGGTAAATACTATCATGTTTTATACTTAACCTCTTGGTGCTTCAATTCTTTAAGACTCAGATTGCCAAAAAATAGGCCACAGTTTTGGCCTTAATTCCGGGGTTCCCAAATTAAATACCTGGGACCTGTGTGTTGTTGCCAGTGGGCGTATCTACACATGACATTTACTGTGGATTTGCCTAATTAGCTCTGCAATAAAGTTTCTGCACCTACATGGGCTGCCCTATTAGGTTGCACTAAATTAATAAATGCTGCTGTAGTTTAGTACTTGTAAATACAAGTACGATACTGCAGCAGCGTTATTTACTGTGCAGCAACACTCATGTAGACGCTGACTGGGGCACTGCCGGCTAGACCCACACCGAAGCACCCTCATGCCCCAGCCAGCACCTCCACAGCATGTTGAGCTTTGTTGAAGCAGCCCTGGGCTGGCAGGCTGACCCCTGGGATCTGCCAGCTGGGGTGCTCCAATCCAGTTCAACGTGCTGTGGTCCTGGGTACACTTGTATGTGCCAGAGTTTTTTGCCTCTCAATTGCACATGTAGATGCACCCAGTGAGTACCTACTGCTCCAACTGAAGACAGTCAAGACTGCAGGTTCTTAGGACTTGTGAGAATCAGGCACTCACTGGTTAAAGTTGCACCCCCAGAATTAGAGGTCACTTCTGAAAATGTGACCCCAGCAGCTTGATGGCTTACAAATTACTTTCTTCATTCTTTACCAATACAGGAAGGAGAGAGCTCTGTAGTGAGTAACCTTCTACATGCATAATTTTATCTTAAAATAATTTCATTTGAGAAAAAACGTGAGCGTGAATTTAGATGTGAACTTCATCTCTGGTTTAAGTGTGATCCAAACAGGTAGAGTAGAATATTTGCTGACAGTTCTACCCATGTAAAAAAGGATGCTGCTGGAAAAATTAATTCTGAATTATTATTTTATAAATTAATATGACTTCAGCCCATTACTATGTAGTCCAAACAGAAGGTGCTAGTCATGCATAGGTGACTGATTCTCAAAATAGCAGTTTTTCACAAAAAAAAAAAACCCATTAAACAAGAAAAATAAAAAACCCAACAATTTACAATAGAAATATAGTCTTAACATAAACCATTGAATAAGATTTTCCTAATCTACCAATATACTCCACAGAAATTGGAAATCCACATAACCTGAACAACAGCAAAAGGCTTTAAAATTTGTAGCAATAATTAACCGGAATTTAGTAAAGCATGAGGTTGCACAGGAAAAATCTAATAAAACCATTTTTATTGTATAAAGCATCTAAACAAGACAGGCTCTCAGGATGCCTGTAGATGTGCAGGGCACCTGCTCCAACACATGCTAATTACAGTGTTGGAGCAGACTTGATTAATCAAGTCTGCTGGAGTGTGCTAATTAGCACACACTTATTAACACACTCCAGCAGCGTCTCGTGTATTCAGCTTCCCCATATTTCAAAATGCCGGCGGCAGGAATGTTTGAACTAAACTGAGCTTTAATAAAAGCCCCCCCGCCACCATTTTGAAATGTGGGATGCTGAATACATGAGATGCTGCAGGAGCTTTAATTAGAGCAGAGCCACTCTACTTAAAATGCCTCCCCCAACTCTCGAAGCACCTGTAAAGATGCCTTTAAGCACCATTTTCCAAAGGCATTTAGGAGCCCCAGACCCAGTGATTTCCAATGGTATTTAAGCACTTCAGAAAATTCTGCCCAGTCTTTAAAAAAAACAAACCCCAAGAAGTTAGTTCCCATAATCCCTTCACAGCTACTTTAAATGGTTGGCAGGGCTAACAGGACCTTGTCGTGCATCCATAGGTGCATCTCGAGTAGAGCCAGGGAGGTGATCCTCCCCCTCTATGCGACGCTGGTCAGGCCGCAGCTGGAGTATTGTGTCCAGTTCTGTGCGCCCCATTTCAGGAGGGATGTGGACAACATGGAGAGGGTCCAGAGGAGGGCCACCCGCATGATCCGGGGACAACAGGGCAGACCCTACAGTGAGAGACTGCGGGACCTGAACCTATTCAGCCTCCACAAGAGAAGGCTGAGGGGGGACCTGGTGACCGTCTATAAACTCACTAGGGGGAACCAGAAGGGTTTGGGGGAGACGCTGTTTCCCCTAGCCCCCGCTGGCATAACAAGGAGTAATGAGCACAAGTTGATGGAGAGGAGGTACAGATTGGACATCCGAAAAAACTACTTCACAGTTAGGGCGGCTAGGAGCTGGAACCAACTTCCAAGGGAGGTGGTGCTGGCCCCTACCCTGGGGGTCTTTAAGAAGAGGCTGGATACCTACCTGGCTGGACTCATTTGAGTCCCGTTTTTTGTTTTTAGGGTTCTTTTGTTGTTCTCCCGCCCTGGCGGGGGGTCGGGCTAGAAGATCTATTAGGTCCCTTCCGACCCTAAAACTATGAAACTATGAAATAAAATGTGCCATACAGAGGTTATGGTAGTGTTAGAGTGATGTTGTAGCAGTGATGGTCCAGGAATTATGCGAGAGGCAAGGATTTATTTGGGTGATATCTTTTATTGGACTGACTGCATAGTTGAAATAGGAGTTAAGACCCCATGGAGTACGAGTTAGACCTAACTCTACAGCGGTTGGAAATCTAAAATAAATTGCCCATCAATTTAGAAGTGTGCAAAATGCAAAGGAAAGTACATTATAATTTATATATTGGACATTCATAAACAAAAAGTTATGGATTTTATAATAAATGGAATGATTTCTACATTCTGGCTAAAAGTCATGTGTGTTTCAGGTAAAGTTCAAGGCCTAATTGCCACACAACCCTTTATAATAAGGATTAAGTGGGACAGAAAGTGCAAACTCCTGACATTTACATTAAAATCAACTATCATTGTTTAAGTGGCACATTCCCTCCAGCTTGTATTTAAATTGTTGCCAGTTAAAAAGAGATGGAAGAGAGGTATCTTCTCACTGCTTTGTGGTGACCTCCAGGTTGCTGCTAAGAAACAAGCCCTGGTCACTTGCCCCCACTCCACATGTACAACTTGCCAAGAACTGTTACACAGTTACTTTAAGGCATTTGCCCAGGGACTCTTTCAGGACCTGAGACTCTTGCACTTATCATATGACATCTTTTCAGGAAGCAGCACATGGAGGAGGACTGCATAGGTAGGGCTGATTTTTCAGTGCCAGTCTCAGGATCACCTTGGAGGTAGAATATTGTATTATAATAATGCCTAGTGACTGTAATTGATTTCTGGGCTCCACTGTGCTCCATGCTGTACAAACAAAGGGAGACTGCAGTCAGCTCTAGACAAAGAAAACACCGTCACCCTCACTGTCCACATAAGGAACAAAGGCAGCTTGGAGATGTGAAAAAAAAACCCCAAACAAATGAGACTTTACTTTAAACTTCTGGTAAAGCACAGGGTTGTTTTTTGTCATGTCTGTCAGCAGTCAAAGAGACTGAGTGAATTAGGCTGGAAATTGAACCTAGAGTTCTTGAGTCTCAAGGCACAACTTCATCCATGAGGACCCCACCCCACACACACTTACCCTGTGTACAGTATCATAGAAATACTATGCTGCTGCATCCCATTGCAGCCATAAGACTGAGGCACAAAGACAATTGCTAAGTCACAGTTCTTATGTACTTGCTACCATCTTTTTCCTGACCTCATCTTCCAAGGTGCTAAGTGCTTTCATCTTCCATCCCAGCATCCTTCCTGGGTTACAGGCTACAAAAATTGCAGGTACATCAAATCAGATGTATTTAGGAGTATATCTACCCTTTTACCTCACTTGACAGGCCATTTCCTATCAGCTGACGGTACTTTTAATTCTATATCTGGAGTTTGTTCTCTCCCCTCTGACTGTTCCAGCTTTTGCATCCCAGTATCCCAGCCATTCAAACAGAATAGTTTGAGGTGACATTGATTTGTCTTGCCAGTTCTGTAGGACAGGTGCATAGTGCAATCATCAGTGCTACTCATTCAAAATATGGTCTAGATAAGAATAAATTGATCATAAATAACACCTAATGTACTAGCTATTTTTAAAAGTTCTCTTCATCATAGAAATTTTGAAAATATTTTGATATTTAAATATTGAACTGGTTCCGGAGCATATAATGTAATAAAAGGCACATTTTCCCATACCCTGTCCCATCAGTAGTAGCGGAACGAATAAAATTAAAGCACTGCTAAAAGTTATTTAAAAAAGAGGTTATCCTTTGTGTCTGGGGTTTGCTTTTGTTGCGTGTCATCTAGTTAATCAGTAGTATGGACAGGCAACCCAAGGGAAATACTTTTTGATTCACACCACATTTTTATAGTGCATTCATTGTCCAGTCAAAGAGTCTAATTTAATGCCTCTGTAGTTCTTCATTGATATTTCAACTGCAGCTGTTTTCAGTATGGCTGATTCTCAGATTTAGATCTGTGCCTCTCAGGTTCTGAGGCCTGCCTGCCTAGCCGTGGTGGCGGCATTGGTCTTGTTGATCCATCATCTTTAGTCAAATCTTCTTCACTCAGTGTACCAAACCTTGGTCTTGACAACAGAGGTTGCCTGAACCAACTGGATGTCAGAGCTTGGTTAGCTGCCTCCCTGTGATCTCCTTTTCCATCACAGTCTCTGTCGACTTCATTCCTCCATTCCATTCTAAATTGCTGCTGTGGCTTCCGCTGTTTTTGCTTTGGGTCTCTCATTTTTTTTCCTGGTCTGGGTTTTAAATTGAGCACTGTGGTAGCAGCATCTGTGTCAGAGTCACTGCTGTCACTCACTGTGAATGTAAAACAAAATTAAAATTCTCAGATACAGCATATCACTGTCTACCAAGTGCTGTCAAACCAAACAGCAGAGCATTATACAGCACAAAGCACAAGACACAGAAATGCTGTTCTGTGCCTGCGATGAATGGTTGACCAAACTCTGAAATGTACGGTCCTTTGGGGCTAGAAGCAATAAAGGATTTGGGCAGATTTTAGGAACTACCTAAAAACCTGGGATTCAAAAATCCGTGCTCAGGTGTTGTCAATCTCTGGAGATACCTAAATTTACAAAGTACCTCCCCACTTGACTTGAAATGTTCCTAGGCATCTAAACTTCTTCTCTAGTCACATGTAGAACTGCCCAGTCCAAGTGGCTCAGTGACTCATCTCCCACCTACACCCCAACTTTTTTCCAACTATTCAGTTGGTCTAATAAAAGATATCACATCTACTCAAAGGTATCACATCTAATAAAAAGATATCACATCTACTCAAAGAATCTTGCCTACCTACATCCCAAGGCACTGAACTGTATGGAGAGCCTAAGGACATAACCTAGGGTTTTAAATACCACTCTGGGAGCCGGAGGTGAGAGTTTCAAACCAGCAGGGAACATTCCTGCACTTAAATATTGGGTACCTGATTTCAGGATTAGAATTCACAAAACTGAGTTAGGCACCTCTACTTCCCTATGCTTCGGGCAAACTTAGGTGACTAGAACTGAAATCCATACTGCTCAGCACACCAAGCGGGGTGAGGAGGGAAGGAAAGACATCTAAGCCAGTCAGTAAGAAGAGGTAGATGTTTGAAACCCTACCTCTCTTCTAGACTTAAGGAGCAGTAAGTTGTCCCCTTGCAGTCCTGACTTAGATGCCTATGTGAGACAGATTCACAGCTCGAAAGACCCCTCTTTCAGTCAACCCCTCTCACAAATATAGGCACCTAAGCAGGCAGTTAAATCATCATTTACAGTATAGGAAACTGGCTCATTCTTTCCTTTTAGAGGAAGCAGAAGTGGTAGCGGCAACCTTTTATGTATTTGCCTAGAGGACAGAGCACTTATTCAGGGAAGCAGGAAGTATGGACTTGGGCTCCATACCACTTGGCCCAAGAGACTTCAGACCAATATTTCATCCTTCTAAGGATACTAATCATGAGACAAGATGCAAGGCCGAATAAAGGTACCTCCTACCTTTGGCTCACTGTGCAGAAAGTTTTCAATAAGAAGAGCATTTTGGCAACTGCTTGTACGTTTTGCATTTAAATAGGCAATGAAAAAAAATGCATAAACCGCATTAGGAACAGGGACCAGCAACTTGGACACTCATTCGTCCCTCAGCTATTGAGCCACGCCTGTGTCCCAATTTAGGCCACCTAAATTTACCTAACCTGAAAGCATCTAAGTCCCTTATCGAATCTAGCCCTTTCCTAGAAATTTGCACAGAGAGTTTTGCATTTGGTCGCCTGTACACTCTCACAAGCGTGCATGCTATTTTGTTATACATTTCTAAAGAGTTTGGTCTCTCTCCTTTACAAAGGTGGAGGATAGTACACCCATGGGAATGGTGCCCTGAAGTGGGAAATTGTTGACTTTGCCACATTTGCTCTCTTTCCTCTTAACCTTGCTCAACTTCTGTGCAAAAGCCCCATAGGGAAGTGTTCAGTACAGATGTATAAATGGCTTTTCACAATGTTTTTTCCTCTCTAGGATTGTATGCATGCATGCTTTACCAGAGAAGAGAGGGGCCTACAACAAAATTCTCAGTCTAAAGCTCTCCCAAACATTTGTGAATGGGACAGAGTTCACATTTTTAGGCAGGACCTGAAGTGTTCAAATGAATTACAGCCTTACAATAACCTAAAATAAAACATGAATTAAAGTTCTGCATTGTAATCCTGTCTTCAGTTACCATTCTTTTCCTGCAACCATGTTAAATATCATTCATATTTAAGCTATGCAAAGAAAGGAAGCACTTGTTTTTTCAACTTGAACAAATATGAACCTATTTGAATGAAACAAACAACACTGAAAATATTTTCAGTTCTACAAAGAGTGAAATTATGAAATTTACCCAAAGACTCAGTAATGAAAAAGCTGGGATTCATTCTTAGACTGTGCAATGGAAAGTTACAAAGTTGCACTGCTCCACGACTAGGGACCTACCTAAATCACAGCGAGACAAAGGGTTTTTCATGGCCCACTCATGGCATACAGAGCCAATTTTGCAGGCATTTTGCGGTGACCCTGCCCCCTGGCACTGATTGGCAGAGGCTGTGCCCCTCAGCACTGACTGGTGAAGAGGCCCAGTGGGGAGGTGGGACACGGGGGCAGCCACCACCTGGATAGCTGGCTGCCCTTTGTACCATCCTGCTCCTTGATGCCAATTAGTGGAGAGGACCCAGCAGGGAAGGATGGACAAGGGGGCAGCCATCTTGTCTGCTGCCCTTCGTGCCACCGTGCCAGCTGGTGCCTTTCCCTCCCAGCAGCGAGGACCACTGGCTCCCACTGGGGAGTCAGCATTTTATTTTTATTAAAGTTTTATTTTTATTTTTTTGATTTAGTGGAAATCCTGGATTTCACAGCTTCCTGTCCTCTCCTGACAGGTCCTTTGCATAGCGGATGAATTCATACAGCTCCTTGTTGTATCTTAATATTCTTCCCACAACACCCAGGACATGTGTGCTGCCTCTGCTCTGCTGTCTGACAACTGGCACGGGTGAAGTCTGTGCTACATCCTGACTACTTCCTTGTGAAGGGTTAAGGGAAAAAGGCTGTTCTTTCCAGCACCTAACTTTTTGGGAGGCCCTACATGAAAATGAGTGTATTATTCTCCTTTTGACTAGTAGCCTTTGCTTGTGTGAGCAATCCTATCGATCTGAAGGGAAATAATTGCATGGCTAAAGATTATCTCCCAGGACTGTGGCTGTATCTGCAGAATTTATACATTCAAAATGTGCAATGTAAAGTAGCACCATAAGAGACCTTCATAAAACTTCCCCTTACCTCTAAAAGTTGCTTTGTTTCGTATTCGTAGTCTCTCTGGGAGTTTAGTATTTTTGGGCAGTGACAGATAGCGCGTTGTATTAGCAGAAGCCTGTAAAAATAAATGAAGATGGCACGAAGTATTAGTATAATGAACATTAGAGGTTTCAAAGGGATCTGTTTAGATTAGAGAAAAAAACCTGGTAACGAGACTGGGATTAACTAACACAATTATATTTTCCATGTGCATGGTTATCTTCATGCCTTTTGCCTCAGTTCTGGTGGTAAAAGTTTATGCTAACTTAGAGGAAACCCAAGGTTAACTTTAACCATTCATTCAAAATGAGAAGTACTAACGTGCATCCATATTAGAGAAAATATGCCAAAAAAGCCAAAGTTAGCTGCTGCATGTTCACTAACTCCAAACTGACACAAGTTTTTCCATACGTCTTTCTTTCTACACAAGCCACATCTGGAACCGTACTGCTCAGTTACTTAATTTCCTTGAAATTGAAACCTGGCTAAAAAGCATCAGACCAGAAACAATTGTCTGCCCTGACTTTAAACAGGGTACTTTATAGGGCAGAGGCGGCCAATTATTTCAGGTGAAGGGCTGCTTACTGAGTTTTGGCAAGCCACCAAGGGCTGCATGACAGGCAGCCAGGGGCAGATAAATATTAATTTTCTAAATTTTGTAGGGCCCCCATGGGCCAGACAAAATGGCCTGGCAGGCCACATCTGGCCCATGGGCCACATTTTGCCCACCCCTGTTATAGGGTAAAACCAGACATCAGATTTCTCCCAGGTTGGATGTCCTGGGCTTTGACTCACATCAAAACAGGCTCAGGATAGTTGTTTAGACACTCAGCTTGAATGAAAACTACCTCAAACTAGTCCAGATAACACTTTTTCCCTGGGACTATCTTGAGTACTTCAGAAGCACTTAAAGTGGGACAATGGGTTCCTACATATGTAGGATCCCTGGCTTAGTTCTGGGAGAAATCCGATGTCTGTTTTTAGCTTGAATAACTTTATCCATGTTTGTAATCCTGGGGAGGGATTACTGCTTGAAGATGAGCATATGCTTATTTGTATGAGGCTTAGTTTCTCCTAAGTGCTGAATCACTGAAGTGCACTGTAGCTGAGCGAAGTCAGCACCTCCTGAAGATAGGAAGTGTCCTTCCGGATAAGACTGTTAGGACATGGTGCACAGTGAAGCTACTGAGGATATGGACACATGTAGCACTTAGACCAATTTAAACTCCGGTTAAACCTGAAGCAGACAGACATATAAGCCTTTTAAACTGGTTTAAAGCTACCTGGAACAGTTCAAAAAGTGTACCTGGAAAATCTAGTACTATTTTGAACTGGTTGAGTATTACATGTGGATACCAACTGGTCTGAGACATGGGTCTCATCCATCCTCCAGGCATCACACACTGAATCACTCTTCATCCCTATCCCCTTCCCCCACTCCACAGACTACTGCAACTGGTTACTCTGGTATACATCCATAACTCTATTGCACTTTTTTCCCCTTCTGTTGGCACTTTCTAATCAATGAGCCCTCTTACACTTGTTCCATAAAAGCTAACAACCTGCTGTGTCCACAATCCCAGCTTGCCCATGGTCCCTCACTATGCTCCACTCCCAGTCTTTGGGAACCTAAAAGTGTACATCCAAGGACTTCCCTCTCCTCTCTAGCCACCCAAAGTCAGGCAAGCACGCTGCAGATTTCAGTCAATTGCTGGCAACTGAAGTTTACTGAACTCATGTTTAGGAGATAAGGAACAAAAGAAAAGTGAAAATGCCCCCAGCCACAGATCACCCACCACCTGAAACTCCCTAAGCATAGGTGCAAGTGCTCCACTCCCCACCCTCAATGCGCCCACTGCAAGGCATACTGGGCTGGGTGCTCACTCCTACCCCACAGCACTTCACACACAATCTGTGATGACTGGGAACAATTCAATTGTCATGTGTCCTCACATGGCGGGAGGTAAATGGGTGCTGGGAATTTCCATGCCTCAGCTGCTCTACAGTAATTGCTCATGCACCATATGCTTGTCACCCCATAGTAAATGTAAACTAACCTGTGGTGGTTTATCCTCTTTCCTTGATAGGCAAGCTATTGCAAGTTATATTTTACTTACTGGAGAGAAATCATGTGCATGTCAGCAGTTAACATGGAGCAGCTGATGGATAGTAAAGTTCTGTCATCCCTTACCTCATTGTAATTTGTCCATGTTTTCATACTCTCTCTTAATTTGTTTATAATTTCTCAAGAATACCTATCGTTTAATTCTTAAAAGGACACCAAACAAAGTTTAAAGTTTTGAAAAGCCTTTAGATATTTTTCCCCATTTGTTCATCTCACTCATTGTTGCATCTCCATATGACAGGTGTAGTAGGGTTGGAATGTTGTTGCAACTGTGATGGTCCAGGACATGTATGAGAGGTGAGTATTTTTGGGTTTTGTTTGTTTTGTTTTTTGGTTTTTACAGAATCAATTGTGCAGCTGGAACAGCTGTTTGACAAGCTTTAAGACATCAAGTGCCATTCCGCAGGTCTAACCTTTTAAGTATTGGCAGGTTCAGCAAATGCAAGTGCCAAACAGAATGTCTTAGACCTGAGGAAGAGTACTTGATGCCTGAAAACTTGTCCAACAGCTCTCCCAACTATACAGTTGGTCTGATAAAAGATATCAGAGAAAAGCCTAGCCTCTCGTACAAAGGACACATGAAACTGAAAACCATTTCCTATTAGTCATTTTTCTTCTCTGGATACTGTGCTGCTGCTCATGAGCACTGAGTGGGCGGTGAGCTGGTTAAGTATAAGAACAATACTCAAGCATTGTTTAAAGATCAATTACTGCTAAAGCTACAGTTCATGCATTTCAAAGACCTCTCTTACACACTGTTTTTTTAGTTCCACCCCGAAAATGCCTTCATCCTTCAGGCCCTTCTATCAATCCTGGCCAGTAAATCAGTCACTAATATGATGGAAGCAATATGTAAAGATAGCTATAATGATAGAAAGGTCATTCCAAAAGAAGTTACAGTATATGTCAAAATAGCTTCAGTAATGATAAGATGCAATGATTCCTGACCTTGTCATTCTGGTCTCTACTGTAAAGGACAACTGTAACAATGAGTACTGTAATTAGTAAGTACACTTGGAACACGAAAATAAACACTCAGAGACTAGTTAATTTTTTTGTCTCTGGCAAGACTGAAAGACTGAGTTTGAAGCAGTTATCAGGTAAGTCCTCTGCTGAAAGGACTACATAAGTCCTTTCAACATTAGTCTGAGGTCTGTGCTTACTCTGTAACAAAACTGTCATCATTGGATGCTGAATATTTATAGATTGTAAGGCTGGAAGGGACCTCGGAAGATCATCGGGTCCAGCCCCCCTGCACCAAGCAGGAAAGATAACTGGGGGTCAGGTGACCCCAGCAAGGTGACTGTCCAGTCTCCTTTTGAAGATTTCCAGGGTAGGTGATTGCACCACCTCTGGAGGGAGCTTATTCCACAGTCTGGCCACCCTGACTGTGAAGAAGTTTTTCCTAATGTTGAGCCTGAATCGATCTTCCAGGAGTTTGTGGCCATTACTTCTGGTTTTCCCCTTGGGTGCCCTGGTGAACAGTTGCTCACCGAGCCCTTGATATACTCCTCTAGTGTAGCAGTAAGCTGCTATCAGGTCCCCTCTCAGCTTTCTTTTCCTCAGGCTGAAGAGTCCCAGATCCCTCAGCCTTTCCTCGTATGGCTTGCCTTTGAAGACTCTGATCATACAGGTGGCTCTTTTCTGGACTCTCTCAAGCTTGTCCATGTCCTTGTTAAAGTGCGGTGCCCAGAACTGGATGCAGTACTCCAGCTGCGGTCTCACCAGTGCTGAGTAGAGCGGAAGAATCACCTCCTTGATTTTGCTGGAGATGCATCAATTGATGCACGCCAGAGTATTATTTGCTCTACTGGCTACAGCATCGCACTGACGGCTCATATTCATACTGTAGTCTATTATTACCCCCAGGTCCCTTTCATTCATGGTGCTAATCAGTTTGGTGTCGCCAAGCCTGTAGGTGTGTTGGGGGTTGCTCGTCCCGAGGTGGAGCACTTTACATTTCTCGATGTTGACATATACTGAATATCATGCCATTTATTAATCTTAAACACTGAGGTAGTGCCTTCACCTCATGGATATTAAAGAACCACTTTTCAAATAGGGGGCTATTCAAATAATGGTTCTTTCGTCAAAAGGTCTCCTCTTCACAATGCTATAGAGAATCCTACAGCTTGATTTTCTACCTCAACATCACTCCTACCTCAGTATCTATGAAATTTATTAGGGCTCTTAAAAATTAAAGGTACAATAGAAAGCCCAAGTTTTTCTCAAAAAATTCCCTGAAAGAAAGATACTTGGATACAAAGAACTCTTTTTTATGAACAGGTTAAAAAACAAGTACCGGTCTCTCCCTAGACAGACTGTGGCTTTTTCTAATGCTTTCCCTCAGGCTGTGCCGGCGACGGATAAGAATTTCTTTCGCTTGTTTTTCACTTGCATCTGCAGTCAGGCTATGTCTGTTATATGACAGCGTCTGAAATACAAAGATGGTGGACACATATCAAAAAGCACAATGACAAATGTATTGAACATTACAGAGAGCACAACATGCACTATTTGCTTTAATGTTTCAATAGGTATCATAAAATAATTTGCAAACTAAAACATATTAAAATAGATTAAAGAGAAACTGAGTGATTATGTCAATGTTTGTCTAGTCACTGGTTCTGCAGGCATTATGTTTGGTACCTGGATTCACTGGACCTGTCAAAACATGAAAAAAGTGAAACTAAAAAAAAAAAAAAAATGGAATTAGAAAAAGCTGGCTTAATGCAGTGATTTCACCAGGCTCATCCTAGCTCATTCAGTAGGGATTGCATATTTGAAAATAACAAAATCAGTCACCAAGGGGAATCACTTCCTTCTAGCAGGCTGAAACAAGCACCACTTCTAAACATTTTCCACTAGTGAGAAACAAAAAGAGTAAATTTCAATCAAGAACTGTCCAAAATATAGACATGACATAAGTAGGAAAAAACTGGGTTTGGGATTCACTGGGGTCTATGCCAGTGTAGATCACAGTAATATTTATTGCATATTTAGAGGCGTAAGAGCAAGTAAGCAAGTTACAGAAAACAGCCTTAATATATTATTGTGAATATAAAAGAGGAGACTTCTCACAGATATAAGGCAGTTCCATTTGGATGCTTAAATGTTGGGCCCACCTGATCACTGGAAGTTATATGCTGCCTTACACCCGCAAAGGATCTAATCCAATGACATGCATACTGTTACGTCTCAGCTCTGTATTCTTGGGGAACCCTGGTACAGGATGCAGTCTGTCTGACTCACAAAGGACTCACCCCCCTCCCCTCCTCTACCTAAACGAAACTGATTAAGATGCAGTGAGAGACGCACCTAAGACCCTCACCAGATAAGGGTGACGAGTGAATCAACTGCCCTAGGTCTCATTTACATGAGAGATGGAAAACAGAAAGCCTGAAGCAGAGGCTGCAGTGAATTCTGGGACCAGAGAAGCAGGAGAGCGCTGCATGATGGGGAATCTGTGCTTCCAATGTTAATCAACCCATGTTCACACACACCCAGCTCAGCATTTATCAGACCAGTTCTAATCTGGATTTGCTAAGGACTTTTCCCCCCCAGACACACACACACAGCTCTAAGTTTAATAGGCATCTCGGGCCGTACATTCCCCGGTCCCACTATGGGAGGCCTATTTAAACTTGATTGACTAAAACTCGGTTGCCGGGTTAGGGAATGCTGAGGCAAGAGACCGAGTCAGAGGGGGTATGGGCAACATTTGAACAATGGTTAAGGGTTCATCACAGCATCCAGCCTGCTGGAGCCCTAATCCCAGGTGTTGTCATATCTTTCCCGAGACGACTGGTGGGAGTCCTCTCCACAAAAGGTTATGAGCACCCCAATAATTGTTTTAAGTCTGTTAAAAGACTATAGTAAGATCTGGAAAAGTCATGCTAAGCTGAGGCTTGTGCACAACAAGTAAAAATCCAAAATCCTGATGCTGCAAGCTATCTATTGTTCCTGAAGAAACCATGAGATATCCCATCAGTATATCTGCCACCCATAGGAATCTCAAGCTGGCTCCCAAGTATTTGGGTTACTCCCTAATCTTAAGTGTTTCCTGATTATCAATCAGTTTCCTGAGATGGTCCAAACCAGATAACCCCTTGTCAATAGAAAAGACAATGATTTACACTACTGAGGGTGCTTCGAAGCAGCTAAACTGAGGGTATAAAAATCTGTAAGTGTGTGTGCTGCTAGAAGAGGAAAAGGAAGGAAAAGAAGTAGAAGCAGGAGGAAAGAAGGAGAAGAAGAAAACCCCTGTGCTGACACCATCCCCTGTCGTTCTTGGGACGCTGGAAGAACAGATCATCTCTCTCTTCAAGGATTGTGCTACGGACTGTGCCTGTCAGCTTTGCAGCCTGAGTACCGTGGACTAGGTGAGATCCCAGCGTTCTCTGTCTTCTTTCTAGGCATAAACTTCTGAACCTGAACTGTATCAGTTAAGCTTGAGCTAAGTTTCCCCAAATACTTAGTGAAACCAGGGTAGTACTGTCATTGTTGGTGTTTGTTTTTCTTCTGTATGTTTATTACTACTAGTACTATTATATATTTCATATGCTTAGCAATAAATAACTTTTATAGTCAAACTGGTAGTAATTGGGTATATTTTTCCTTCTCTGCTTCTCTTTCCTCCCGTGCTCTGCAGCAACGCTTCTTTTACCTATGCTAAAGATCCCTGTGAAGCCCAAATTATTGTGGGGTCTGCTCATCAAGAGGCCAAAGATTGGGACGTGCTGAGTTTGAAACACATAAGGGGATCAGCTTGTATAGGCTGATTGACCCAGTTTGACTCAGACGTGCCCTTATGAACTGAATGCTGGCCCATGAGGGTGTCAGCTGGACACCCAGCCGGATTCAGAGGGATTCTGTTCACCTGTGTGCTTGTGTCTGACTGCATTTATTTGTTGCTCTTATGAACTGATTCTTGGCATATGAGGGTGTCAGCCTGTCCATGCTGATCAGCCCGGCCAGGTCAGGCGTGTCACGTTAATTTGTGTGTGTTTGTGTGTATGACTGATTTGGTGACTGGAGGAACCCAGTCCCATTGAGATTGAGTCCTGCAAGATAGCTCCACTGGGGGTGAGGGCTTGCAGAAGGGAGAAATACAGCTCCGTATAGTAACACAAGCAGCACATTGACAGAATCACCAAGACCCTAGAAACTATCCCTAATAAATGAGCACACCCCAAAGTAATGGGCAAATTTGGTAACAAAATATATACATTCAAAATTGAGAAGGACAGCCTGATACATCCAACTTCAACCTTACCCGCTGGCGTATTTGATAGAGGTTCTTTGTTAAAATATCCCGCATATTTTCCATTTCAGCAGAGGAAAGTGGCTTTACTTTCACTTTTAATTCCCGGTAGTCACTGTTGCACATTAAAAACAAACAAACACAAAAACAGAAAGATATATCTAATACCCGATAATAAAATATAAACATCTTCTTCCTTAAAAATAAAAACAACATTATGTGGAAACAAAAGAAAAAAAGGATAAAAAAGGATGAAGAGCAAAATCACTCCATTTCAATCAATGCCGACACTAGCAACTCAGTATTCGCTGCTTCCAAACACTATACAAATTGGATTAAACAACACATTTGATTGAGATACTTCTCAAGATATCCCTCAAATTGTTTTCAGAGGTGCAGACGTTGGCTCAGAAATCCAGTTAACACTTCCAGTGTTGTAAATGACCTAATAAATCTCTGCAACCTGAGAGCACCCAGGTCTGATTTCACTTTCAGGCCAAATACTGTATACAACTTCCTCAATTTCTCTTAGATGGGGGTTCTGCCTCACTGACCCCAAAAACTCAGGGAAGGGGTGAAATTACTCTTTTGATGGCATTTCTTTCAAATTTGCTGTGGATAACACTGTAATTTCACATCGATACCGTTAGGTTACAAGCATTTATTTAAGAAGAGATTCTTTTTGTGCACAAATTGCCTGATAGATTTCAGAGAGCCCAACGTTGACTCATTCACACCAGATTTACTTACGTGAGAGAAGCTAAAGATGGGACTGTGCTTATCATCCCACTCTCTGCCATCTCAATGGCATGTTTTATTTCCAGTTTCTTATACAGAGAGACAATGCTAGATTTGGGCTGGTTCTCCCGGATCAGAAGTCTCCGTATATATTTTTTGTCAAACTTTATAAACCTGTAGAGAGAGGTAGTTAGCTATGTTAGACTCAAGTCAGGCAGAACTCAGACCAGGGTGGTGCCTTATCAGCTAACTCAGAGAGACATAAGTTTTCACAGGTTACAAACACTTTGTCAGATGCTGTGAAAGCCTATGTGAGAGGCAAACCAGCCCTACCAGTTAGTTTACTGTAAATAGTTAAGGAAATGAATTATGCTTTTGCTGGGGATGAAGATTACTCACCCTGGGTGTATTTCGGGCCTTGCCAATCTTACATATTCATGAATGAGGTAACAAAGGTTGCCTTAACAAAGGTCAAGTTCATCAGTTTCCATTTGAATGGCCTGTACTGACTCATACATTCAGGTGAGTATTTCCTAACAGAGACCTTTCCTTTTAACTACCTTAGGCTATTAACAATTCCTATTTTTAAATTACCTGTTTTTATGAGAGCCAAAGGGAACAGTAAACATTTACTGAAACAGCATGCAAACTGCCTTGCCTAGAACTCTGTGCATTTTCTACTCTGAACATTTAGCTTCCTGACAAAGCTCAGTTCCCTTAGAAATGTTCCCCTTTACTGTAGTAGTAGTAATTCTACCTGGGTACTAACTGTAACAATATGGACTAGAGCAGGAGTGTATTTTTCTGCTAAATGCTTTAGTTACAAAAAAGCAGTCAGCCTACCCAATAAGGGTGAAATTGGCCAAATAGTTTCAAAAGCAAAACGTTTTTCAGAACTTGACTTGTTTTCACAGGGGTTCTCTTTTTAGTCAACAACTCAGCATCAGAACATTCACTTGAAATATAGGAAGCTCAAGTTTGGACAGGGGGTCAAAGATACGGCCTGCAGAGCTACATTATCTGGCCCTTGGTGCCGGCCCCACATGGAGCCAATCTAGGTCCTCTCTACTGCAGGCCAGATGCAACACCCACAGTGCCAGCTCTGGCTGGTCCAGGATGTGAGCCACATAGCAGCCACACCAGGCAGTCTGAGATGAAAACCATGTGCAGTGCAAGTCCTGCACTGGCTGGAGTAAACACCATGTTCAGCACCATCCCAAAATGGCCAAAGTGGTCCCCCATATGCTGGATCAAGTGCTCCTCTGCTACCCACTCCAGCTAGTCTAGGGCCTGTGCTGCATGCAGCATCCCACAGGTCCAGATGAGTTTGACACTCCTGCCTTATGGCATTTATAAGCACTTCTTCCATGAAGGTGCCCCGCTGCCATCCTAGGGAATATTCTGGGTTGGCTTGCTATCAGGCTCTCCTGTTCATGATGTTCCTCTACGAAGAGGAAACTGGCACTCGGATCTGCTGTGCAAGTGAAGGTCCTAACCACTAAGCTATGGTCACACTCCTCATCACTTCCTTTCTGTGAATCTTTCATTCTTTTCTGAAAAATGAAACAGCCTTCAAACAAAAAAAAAAAAAGGAAGGAGAGAAAGAAAATGTCCCACCTTCACCTGGAAGATAAGAGACCCAACCTCCAATTCACACACTCTCTCAGATTCAGAGCAGGTATTAAAACCAAGAAGGTTTCCCACCACTCAGGAGAAAATCCAAACCCTACCCGCTTACAGGGTCTGCTGAAAAGGGTCTGCCTCAAGCTTTCCTGATGGAGATGTTCCACATGGTAGATCAGGGGTGACTGGTGCCTCCTGAGTCTAGGGGGCACAATTTGTGGGTGGGCCTGGGGGCCCATATCCACTCCTATACTTCTGTGCCATGGCTTAGTGCCCCCTCCCCCCGCATGACTAAGTGATAACCAGTTATATATATCCACCAGATAGTACTTTAGTCCATATTTCCTTAGCTTGTTAATGAGAATGTTGTGGGGGAGTGTGTTAAAACCCTTGCTGAAGTCAAGTTATATCCACTACTCTCCCCCATCCAGATAGCCTACCATTAAAATCTTCCAGGCACGTCAAGTTTACTAGTTCTGACATCTTTCTGTGAAGGTGTTCAAAGACCACGTTAGGTTTCGAACAAGCAGGAAGCTAATGATTTGCTTCAGCACTGCTATGTATTCAAGTAGCAAGGCAGGCTGAGGAACCTCTAAGAGAGCCTCATAAGAGATTGAGAGAAAGGGTAGTGCTTAGAATCCCACCTCTAGAGGTCAGAAAGTTGGATTTTTAAACCAGGCTGGAGTATTTGTTGTTTGCTTGTGGTTTTGTAAAACTATTTTCTTTTCACTCTTCTTTCTCTGTGTAATTTACACTTTCCAAACACACTCAGGAGTATAATGGTGAGGAGGAAACATTGCCCAGAATGCTGCTTATGTAGCTCGTACACTCAACCAGCTTAGTTTAGCTTATCCAGTGAGAGTTTTAATTAATACTTACTTATCTCTCCAAAAGTTGTGACCCCAATGTCCACATACATCTTCTATTCCAGCCTTCATGTGATCAAAGAACTAAAGGCAAAAATTGCAGGTTCATTACCAGTTCTTGTAGAGATAGTTTAACATGCTCTTGGAGATGCCTCTTTAGCTTAGTTCAATCACAGGGGTCTTGTTAATATTGAAAACGTTTCTTTAGCTTAAATAAATAGATTCCAAATCAAATCTCTACTGTCACTACAACTTGTTTAGAATTATTTAGTTGATAAGACAGAGTGATCCAGTTCTTACAGAGTGAGCAGCAGCTCTCAACTTTTTTGATCCTGTGACCCAGCTCCAACCTTTGTGGTCTATCCCCACCTGTTGCCCCAAAGCTAAAATCCAGGCCATCTATCCCCTACCTGCAGTCTCCTCCCAACCCAACTAGCCTAGGACTCAAGAAACTAGTGTGTAATTCTCTTCTCCACTACACCTTTTCTTTGGAGGCCTTGGAAAAAGTCACTTAAGAATCATTCCAATACAGAGAACTTGGGTAGAATGTGTGTGTCTACATCTAAATCTATGATCCTGAAAGTCCTGGCTCAGTTGCTATCTAACCTGGGAAGTATCTAAACTGCATAGATGCCTTTAATGTTCTCCAGGTACCCAGAACTTCCCTAGCCTTGACACGGCTGAAGAACTCCAGGCCTATGCCCAGTCAGGATCCAGGAATTCCTCAACCCAAGTTCCCAAAAGGACTCACTCCTGTAGGTATTCTCACTGTATGCTTGGCACACAATATAGGGCAGGACCCCTCACAGAATGCAGCTATGGTTACCACTTTCTTTTAAAGAACAGCAGAAGGGAGTGGAAACTATTTTTATATAATGGACTACCAGTTTGACCACTTGCAATGGGAATGGAAGACATTGATTCAGTCCCCTCTTCTTCCTGACTTGACTCAAAATTCACAACTCCTCTCTTCCAAGACAGTAACCCACCTATAGGTTATTTTGTGGAGCATTCTCTATCACACAAGTGTGATCTTATTCCACGCTGCTCAAGCCCCTGAGAATCACTTAACACAAACAAAAATCTATTTCTTTATGTTACCTGCTGCTTTTTGTGACTTAGTCTTAAGGCTAAGATGATGGCATTTAAAAAAAGTAGGCACATGGTACTTTATTTCAGGGACTTGAGCAGTGTAGAATAGAACCACATTCTTGCCCTAAGTCGTATAGCACCTAAGTTTGATTGTTACATCTGGCCATTAAGACTGTGTACCTCATTCCCCCATCTGTAAAACAAGGATTATTATTGCTCTAAGTTAAACCCTTCATTAGCTGACAGGCAATCTATAAATATATTTTAAAGACTGTGAGGTGCTTAGAAACCACACTTATAGTGGAGGACATGTAAGTATTCAAGATAGATACATAGAGAAACTGATGGGAGTCAGAGAAACTGGCTTAAAGTTTTATCTTTGAGGGGTTTACAGAATTTCAGCCAGATCTGACTTGATTTAGTGAAACTGGTTGTACATTTTCTTAGCTAGGCGTGCTTTAAAAACTTAAAGAAATTCATGCATAACTGATGATCAAGAATAAAGGAAAATAAATTTAACATGGCAGATCAATAATTTACAAAACAAACACTTTAAGTAATCATATATTGATCACATATTATATAAAATGTTCACACTACTTCAGAACTGGAAATGAAATCCAAAATAATAGCTCTCTCTGTAGCATATTTTAGCCTGGCATCACTGAAATCACTACACACTTTGCTACATATTTCACTCCAGGATTTACCCTAGGTCATCAAAGCTCAGACATACCCGATTGTAAATTTCTTCACTGACAACTGGCTGTTTTTTGTTTGACCTCTTCACATCAAGAAACTCCACCAGGGGACGAATTGTTATCCCCTGTCCAGAAAAACAAAGCAAAACAAACAGCAAATATTTCCTTGCTTGCCCAGAGCCATAAAAAAAAGAAAAATATTTCAGTCAATTTCTTTCAGTCACTAAGTTGTAAAACTGAGTTCTGGGTGCACCCTCTTTCTTTCCAAGAGACAAGCATAAATGTATAAATATAGTAAAAATGCATTTACCCCTGTGGTTAGCAGGCAGTGCATTTAGTTAGCTGTGTGCTACACAAAATGCAGTCCCACTAACACGAGTGGAAATAAAGGGAATCTCCAGAGCTAAAGAAACAACTGATGACTATAAGAAAAAAAAATGTAGTAGTTTTTCTTATGGACTTAATAATAAAAAACCTTGAAAAAGTGGCTTCAAGGAACAATGGCATGCTACTGACAGGGCCTGTCAAGTTAATAATTGTTTAATTAAACCAGAAACAAATCTTGCTTCATTTAAAACACAAATATGTTAAGCTATTGTTTTAGAACTTGAAGCTCAGGGCTGACCAAATAATAAATTTAAAGTTAATCCTCAACAACAGGCAAAAACTGGAATTTTTATTTAATATTGTATATTGATTGGTTATGCCCAAGGAAGGCAGAAACTTGTGATTAGTCCAATGTGATTCGCTGTGATTTAAAAAAATATCTGCGAAAGAAGTGTCTTTCATTTTAGAAAACCAGAAACATAATACTCCAAGAGATCTCCCGAGTAACTGAGTTCTTATGTTCTTATGAGTTCAGTCCCCCTCACCCCCACAACTCCTACTGGAAAGCTGCTGCAGAATCTCACTGAAACCTTCTTCTAATTTCCAGCCGATATTTATTCATGACCACTGCATATACCAATTTATTTTTTGTCAATATGGCCCATTAGCCCATTCCTGC